AAAGGCAACAGCCTTACCCAAGAGACATCTTCTCCCTAACCACAAACGCGCGGGAGAAAGAAGGAATGGCGCCTGTTCGGAGACGGAGAGCAGATAAGCGGTGGTTAAAAAAGGAGAACGCGTACGAAAGTGGAAGAAACCATTCGCTCGAAATTAGCCGCGACGCCTCGTGTGCAGTCGCTTTTACCCTTAGGACATGCATTAAGCAGCTGCTGGCCGCTAGACGACAGGTATGCCGTGACACATGCCGCTCACGAAATGCCAGCGAACCGAGAAACGAGGAAATCGACTGCTCGCGGCCAACGGGGACGATTAAACGATAGCTGGCCGTAGACGTTGCTCGGTGTGGATGGTTAATGGCAATAATTCTGCCGCCGATATGACTCGACTGTTCTTCGAGCGTACGTGGATCAGCTGCGGGCAGCTCCGGAGAGGGAGATCCACGGATAGGGCGTTAATCATTGCTTCGCGTAATTATCCAGCCGAAGATAACAATGACATGGGTAACGGGGAGTGAGCAAAAGGGTTAGGGAAGACGGGGAACGAAAAGAGCCATCCAAAAGGATGGCCTCGATACCGATCTGTTATTTAACGCAATTATTCCGTGACAGCTTAACACTTCGTCGACGACACACTTTCAGCGAACTCCGCACGCAATAGGTGAGTTAAAGTTTTGTAAGTCGTGCGATGCAGGAATTGATAACGTGAAATGTTTTAATTAGGGCTGAGAAAAGAAACTTTCACCCCTTTTATCTGGTTTTCGTAAATTCAGCCGAGCCACTTGCAAACTGTATTTTATCTATGTGTGAAAGTAACCTAATCATCCTAAATACATACAAGAACCTTTATCCTGGTTTTATGACTCCCCCATTTCGGTTACGAGAGCAAATTAAATTTACGTAACACAAACTGTTTTCCCGAATGTAGCGTTTATTATTATTCAACGTCTCGACCTCGCTCCAGATGTCCTCATGAATAAATTAAACGCATCTTGAATGCAATCTTAAATATGCATATCCTTTTACAATTAACCTGTATCTGGCAGTGTTATCTTTGATTTTGTGTTGCATACGGCCGCGTAAATAACTTTGTTTTGTGTATTAGCAAGCGCGGAATGCGGCGTTGACGCAAAGATAACGTTCTTTGCGATCGTAGGGTGTTAAAGTAGCCGCGTTTCCGTTCGCACGAGCATGATACCCGTCTCGAGACGTGACTGGACAACAACTTTGAGGACGATGGACTCGTTCGCACCCGTACGCCGCGCGTCAGACCCGTCAATTGAGACGTAACCAGCAATTAAAGGGCGACTACTTACAATTATGCAAATAGTACGTTCGCGTGGTTCAACGACGTATTATACAACAAAGTTGCGGCATACAGGTGTCGGGAACCCCTTGGCAGTAATTATCGGTCGAACGTGGACTCTCGATCGTCGCGATAACGACAAGAACAACGGCCGAAGGGATCGTTTAAAATAGAAGGTATAACTGATCACCTAAAAAGGGAGAAGAGAATTTGGGGGAATTTTTTATGTGGAAACTAAAAAGACGTGCAACGTGAAATAAGACGTTCAAATTTTAATAAATGAAAGTGTATGCTCCGAAGCGAGTCTTGTAAAATTATGGTATCATTCAGAATAATCTCCCCAAAAATGCTTACTTCTCAAAAAAGAAAGAACAATCCTTAAGATGGTGAATGGTTTATTACTTCGTCTAATCCACGAACTCTACAATTTTTTGGACACTAACCTCTCGAATATTCACATAATTTATACCTCGAATCCCCGCCACTGTGACCACCAGTCCCTGTACAAAAGAGGGGTGCTGATCCCTTATTTAACGAGACATTCCTGGAACTCTTTCCACGCGTTCCTCGAATCAATCACTATGAACCATCGCGACATAAACAGATGACAACCGTGCCCAACAATTATCCACACCTGAGATTAAGACCGTCGCGAGGGAAGACTTCGAGGACGCTTCCTCCTCCTTATCGACTTTCCACGAAGATAGCGAGGGAACGCTGGATCCTCGTGATTCGATTACCGCCTTGTCTTGTTTCGCGTTCAGCTTTCCGCAGGAGCTTTTTGTTGCTCCGTTTGTCGCGATAACGAGTCGAAAGTTAATTACCACGGCGATCGCGGGTTGAAGCTTTCATTTCAGCCGACCAGGGGATGAAGCTTTGGGTTTTATTTCTGTTTACCGGTCGCGATAGTATTGGACTTGATATCTGTTTAAACCTGATGCCAGAAGTCGATCTACGGAGTGTAGACATAGATATAACATTCTTATCTAGATAGAAATTTTGGGTAACGTGTAGAAGATAAATTAAAATAGATCAAAATAAGATTTACGTATTCGTTAGATTTTCAATAATCATGTAGAATTTTCTATGTGGCTGTGATAAAGGCCCTAAATATATAATACACGGCCCTGAAGAGTTCTCAAAACAGAAGATGAAATGAAAAGCTTCATAGTTACTTAACTACGTCATAATTCTCCCTTCATAAATCAACGTGAACGAGTGCATCGACTGCCACGGTAATAGTTTTGAAAAAAAGAAATATGAGTAAGTAACGGTGCACAGTGAAACTTTCCTAGCTATAGAAAACGCGCCCGCCAGGCACCGGTAGCGCTACTTAACTAGATGAATTCAATATCTCGGAATAAATACATTGATAAATCAGCCACTCCGCTAAAAGCTTACTTTACTTTGGCTAGCTGTTGCGGCCGCGCGCAAACAACGCGCGCCTGTGTGCGTCCATTCAGCGCGAAGAGCACCAACACGCCCAGGCACGGCACACAAACGCATCGTGTACAGACACGGGGAACACGGAGGGATAGCGAGGAGCATGCGAGTGTACAGGGTGTTTCTGAAATGAGTGGCTGAACTTTGCTCGAGGAAGAGTCCTGTGGGCTTGGAATCGGAATGATGATGTGGGATGTTTAAAAGCTGCTGTATTTGGGTTGATTTCGACTTGAACAACTTGGATGTTTGTGAAATGAAGTATTTTTATAGAGTGATGGATCGTGTAATATTGATTAAGACTTGTTACAAAAGCAGTCTTGGTGTTACGCTTTTGGAGGAATTCTGTGACTCTTCTTACCCTTTAGAGGCCAAGCTTCAACAGTTAAAATACTTACAAAAACACCTACGAGATTAGCCAGACGTATGCTTTTACTCAGACCCCGCAATGGACACAGAGTACCATGGTAGTTCGTGATGACCTCATGGTATGTTGTATACTAGGGCTCATTCCAATTATAAATGAAATAACTGAACAAATTACACACCCTAAATTCGTTTGCTACCCAAGAAGAAACACAACACAATAAAGTGTGCAAAAATACAATTCGCAGCTGAAGTACTATTTTTAAATCTGACATCAAACATTCATAGAGACATCCCAACGACTTCAAATAATAAAAAAATACAGCGGATACTTCAAATATTTACCGAGGATAAATCAATAAAACTTCAATAAGTAGAATGTACTTGCGATGCAGTTGGTATCTTCTTACCAACCAAGAGATCGATATACTTATTCTTGAAAAAACACTTTCAGACTGTGTTCTTCAACCCCTTCGAAACGAAGGAAGCCCGCGGGGGACAAATATCAACTACCCTACATCTTGACTTCTTCGGTTGACACAAGAACGAGAACAATAACAAGTGAACAGAGCGATAGCATCAATCCTCTGACAGACCCAAGACAGAAGTCACACCAACCCTCACCATTTTTCCAATCATCCTTGACCCTAGCTTCTCCTCCGACCCTCGGTGATCACCAGCAGGTAACCACAATTCGATCGACCTAAATCAGTCTAAAAAATGAAGTTCGTCAAATGTTCCAGGACCACCCTGTACACGTCCCAAGCAGCCTAACGACGACACGCTCGCGCGGACCATCCCGTGGCCTGGTAAGCGGTACATCGACGAGGGAAATCGGTGTACGCGTGCCACCCCCGCGCGGGAGGGGTGGCAACACATAAGGAAAGTTTGCGAGCGCGAGCAATCGCATAGGTAGAGATGGACCACTCGCCGGGTCGCTAGCGGGAGAGACAGCGAGAGGGTGGCGGACCGAGGAACAAGGACAGCGCGAGGGTGTACTTATGGAAGAGTGGTTTGCTCCGTCTATAAAGAATCTTGTTTGTTTCTGGCCCACGGATATCGAAGAAAAACTATTTGCCTTGGGGATTTAGAGTGTTTCGCGAACCTTCCACCACCACCATCACCCAGCCACGGGCATCATGGACGTCGAATCGGTTACCACCACTGGGACAAGCTGGGCGGGCCGGGGGTGATGCGTTCCTAGCGAAACGCCATCTCACGAAGAGTAATACACGGGGCAAATAAAACTTCATTCTTGCCGATTGTCCATCGACCTATCCGCTGCTACGAATCAATCCGGCAGATGGACAGGGAACGAGGGATCGATCGATTCGGCCGCCGCCGCGAGCCACATTTAAATCACTGCGAGGCCAACCACGGCACCAGGCTCTGGCGATGTCTGAGGGAATTTCATCGGGAGGTACGCGTATCGCGTCGTCTTACGAAGATTGCTGTTTCTTTGGAATGATCGTTAGGGTGAGATGAAAGTAAAAAATTTCGGAGGACGTATGACTAGTTGCGAGCGACGACTGATGAACAAGTCTTTGTCTTAGGCTGAGAAGAAGCAACGATGGAAGCATTTGATGGACCATCGAGGACTGTTATGAATTTCCTGTATCGCGAACTTTCCTATTTTGGGATCGCTGCGTAACTGAGTCCCTCGGAATTGAAACTATGGCGGGAATGGCTACTTTCTTTCTCGACAGTATGGGAACTGATTTAATTAAGATAACGCGGGTTCGCATATTCCAGAATCTACAATAGTTTGATAAGGAACGAATTACGTAGCGTGTTTGTCTGATATTGTTTGGCATTAAATTGTCACTTATTCCAGAGTCTATTGAATTATTATCTTATGCTACTCGAATATGTAAACATGTACATACCATTTTTCTGGCGAGCGATGGAGATGGGCTATTATAGTTTGCGTATGTTAGAACTTTGTGAATCCTGTAACAGAAAAGAATGGCTGCCATTAGAGTAGTGAAGGGATGAATTGAACATTTTTTTTTTAAATATCGCAAATGTTTTTTAGAAGGAGAAATAAATACAATACTATATAGAAACTTGTAATTGTCCTTTACTCGTTTAAAATACGTACTGTCGGAGGGTTGAAGAGCCACCCTATGGTGTATCAGAGTTCGCGTGGGCGTGCTGATCCGCGCAGAACGCAATCTCGTTTAGAAGACGAATTTGTTTCCACGGAACTTCGGTTTTGTCCGCAAGCCAAAGCGTCTTGAACGCCGGAATTGGATTACGTCATTATCGAAGGAGTGAGATTCCGCTAATGAGAATATCGAACGATGATGGGAGAATACGCGTGTTCGTGTTTCATGTGTGTTTATTGCGAATGCACTCGCAATGCACATGCCTATCTCTTAATTTATGATTTAATTCAATTTCTGTAACAGTACTGGATTGTCCTGGTCATTTAATTAAAATTATATATCCAGGAAAATTATATTCTCTTATATATCTCCTTTCTGAACGATCCTGAAGAGTCTCTGTGATTAATATGACTGAAACTTGACAAATTATTACAAAATTTTTCTAGTGGAATGCTTTTACCAACAAGAACATATTTCACTCCCTCTACTCGTGACTATTAATATTATTCAACACGAGGTACCCTGTATATTGAAATCGTCGATCGTTCTAGCGCAGAATGTTCCAATAACAATCGTCGAGCAAAAATACGGTTCCATTTCCGTTACTGAAATCATTAAAAGCCACGCCCACGGACTGACGATATTAATTCCTTCGACAGAGAAACGACGGTAATCAATCGCGACGATCGCCGTATTTAGGCGAATAATAAATGGACGATTAAATAAATACGTAGAATAATTCGAGCAACGTCCATTACTTTATAAAGTTTCCTTCGTCACACACTCCAAGAAGGGACACACGAACCACTGCACAAATCGATTAATTCTACTTTTTGAAAAATCTTAAATTTAAGTGTCAAAGCACTTGGTATAATCATAACTTTTTATATTTATAATAACTTTCCTAAATAATAAAAATTAACACCATTAAACGACAAAATTTGTTTGGCCATTGAGTGATAAATAATTTATTTTAGAGGCCATTTCATCTTATTTCTCAATTTTTTGTTCCATGAAGTTAATCGATATAGTTGTAAAAACAAAACGCATTTCAACGTTCTAAATATTTCTATCTGAACTACAGTCGTGAACGATGTCTGATAACCGCATCGAGAACAAATTGAATAAAAATCAGGTCGAAGATTAAACGGAAATCCTGCCCAAGGTGTACACCGGGTGCTAAGTGGTCGGCAAAAATAATTCGAGCAGCCCGCAGGGGTGGGGGCACAGGGGTGGCTGGAGTCAAAGGCTGATTAAAGAAAAATCCGCAACTTGTTGAACGTCTTAAATATTCATCCGCCGATGTAGCATCTACTTAATAACCGGTGTTGCCGACGTCCCTCGGAGCAACCGCCGCCGCCTCTTTTTCTCACCCTTTTGCCGCGATTCTCCCAACCCTCTACCCAACGTCTCGCACCCCTCACGCCGCCGTCTTCCGAGATCCATCGTCTCAGGACTCCACCACGAAGAGCGCGACGACGGGCAAATGAAATCCGCTAAAACGTTTTCTTAGCGGTATCGCCCGGGCTAAAAGCTAAAAGCGCTTTTAAATTCCGCCAACTCTGCCCCCAGCCCCCCCCCCCCCTTCTACCGACCCTCTGGACTTTGCTATGCTAGGCCATCTGTCCCCCACCGTCGCTCGAAAATACAGCGCCGCGGGCGTGATACCGATTAGGCAATTTAAATTGCGTTGTAGATTTATGGAGAAATTTAGATTTCAATTCTTTTTTAAAAATATAAAATAGAAGAAAGTTTATATTGTTGTTAGATATGGTGTTTTCAGCTGGTTCTGATAGGCAGATTTGGAGCCAGAATACTGTTAAATAATTGCACTTGGAATTTTCTGCATTTAAACTAAGTAGCTTAAATTCAAGGTCGCGCTAGCCAAGCACACTTATCTCACACTTTATGATATCCATTCACCTAGACCTCATACACCTACTTCATCTTCTACACAGAAGTTATTACCAAAATAAAACATACTTCAACTTCGCAATCACCCCACGGTACATTTGTTTACCAAAAAGTCTCTGGCTCCATTCACGAGCCCACCGGCTCATCGCAACCTGCTTCGAGAGAGAAGCTTCTCAGCTCTCCTCCCGCTCGGAGGAGGCTTCATTCGCAGAGGATGAAAGCCGCGGGACCCGAGGTGGGGCTTGAAAGAGGAATAGAAATCTAACGGTGAGAAAGAAAGCACCACGACGGAGAGGGACGTTAGCGAAAAGGGGGCAGAAAACGAACACGGAGGGACGAGGACGAGCCGAAGAGAGATAGGATGCGAGCGAGACAAGAAAGAAGTTAAGTGGGTGCACCTACGCTCGGTAAAACAGACCGGTCTCCGAATTGAAGCTGGCAGCGGTCCAGCCTAATGGAGACTCTTAGCGTAATTAAACGTAAACACATTCGAGGCGTCACGCTAATCTGAATGCTTATCAAGGTCCGCCGGTGTTGCCTCAGGGCCGTGTCTACCTGGCGTGTTCATCCTTGGGAATACGGTAGGTTGGGAGAGGAAGAGAGTCCGGCTCCGAAGCCTAACCTTCGCTCAGCGTTTGCGCGAAAATGGCCCTGTCTCCGGCGCTATCGCGTTGTTATTAAGCGAAGGATGTTTCTATTATTCTTTGGTGTATTTTCCCCACTCCTAGATAACGCGCCCGTAAGAAGCTTACTTTACGAGACGGAATTAATGGCCGGGAATTTTAATCCTGGGAGACGCGTCCTTGGTTACCGCGGGGAGAAAATCGGTTGCTTAGTATACTCGAGGAATTTGGAGATCATTCGGTAGCGCTAGATTATCCAGTTACGCGATAAGTTCATCAATTATGAGAAGGAAGGAGATGGATGCTGAGAAAAAGAAAACTGAATTTTTAATTAACGCTTAAAAGTATTCGAAATCCATGTCTATGTAATGACATCAACAGGTACGTTGACCATGACTGGCAGAGTTTCTTACTCAGAAACTAAAAATTTAATTTTAGAGATCAGATATTAAAGAAACAAAATCTGAGAAGTACCGTGAATTTTGAGGGGGTTGCAAAAATAAATATTAAATTTAAATTACATAGTTTCCGATTGTATAAGAGAAATTTTTCCAATGATATGAATATTTTTATTTTCGATGAAGTAATTAATTCGTGATGTAACGGGTTAAAAGCGCGTTTCCTTAGTGTGAGATAGCCTGCTCTCCCAATCGAATTTACGAACACGCGGCGCGCGCGAACCGGCCTCCGCTAATGAAAACATCTTAGCGGCAAACGACAGCTCTTAAATCGCCGCTTCTGCTCTCTAATCTTAAACCTATGTTAACCACTTAACCGCGGCAGTTCGACCGATTGACAAACTCCTCCTCTAGCAGCCACTTTCCGCTGGGACCATTTTATTCTTGTACGAACGCTGCTCGCGATACCGTGGCGGATATCGATAGCTGAAAATAGGATTTCAGGCTACACTTTCGGCATTTTCCAAAAACAAAGAGAAAATCGCTGGCAACTCTAGCCAATTTTTTCTATTCTCGTCGGCCAAGCATTTTTCACCCAGTTTAATAAATGCTAAGTACCTCAGCACGAGATGGGAAGCCAATTATTTTTATAGGACGCGGGAAGATGCTTATCGATCGTAGTCCCCGGTCACAATTTCGTTTCAAAAGTTCTGCACAGTTTCGTTCACCGGTTCTCCAAGAAAAGATCGCAATCGAGTAATTATACAGTGTAAACGCCATAAGATGCATGCGAGAGATATAATAGAAACGCCGGAGAAACTCTGTCCATGCGAGGTGTAATCAGCATTACAGCCTGCACGTGCAATGAGAACGCTTTTTGGCAAGGCTCCCTCGCGGCAAATGAGTCAAATGTGCTTATACTTTATACTGCAAATGATCTCGGTTATGTCGGTGCATTGGGGCGAAAATAATAGCGACCGTCCGACAACCATGCGAATGATGATTGTTGTTGTCTCTATCGTGAGAGTCGGACGTATCTATTTTATTTCAGCAGTTGATTTAATTTTGGTAATCGTGAATCCATAAATATAATAAATTTGGAAAGGTTCTCGTTAACAGTGTTTGAACGGTAAATTCGCAAACATCCTTCCTCGGTACTCAAGTAACATTCTCAAGATTGAAAGTAGACTTCCCAGAGTTTGAAGATTTCTTTGAAACTCCGCACGCTAACGGACAGTGTTAATCTTCTTCGCACACTATCATCCCAATGTCCGTGGAAACAAGAGAAAGTTTTCAATCGTGGCGAAACAAAACTGGCAGCGTTTCGCTGCAGAACAAACCATTTAGCCCATGCGGAATAATAGTGGAAGTGGTCGCGGGACAGCCAATCGACTAAATAGAAGAACCGAAAGGCAGGGGTCGAGCGATTCAAAGCGGGTTCCACGATGCTAATCGGGACTTCCGGCTGGCTTCGATCGGCGACGGTATCGATAGAAAACAAACCCATCCCGCGCCTCTGCCGGCCTATCCCTCTTAAGATCGAGACACGGGACTGGCTGTCCAAACAAATGAAAGCTAATGGAAGGCGCAAGGCCTACTGTCTGCGACCTCCTCTGTTCCACGATCGACGGACGATCGATCCGACTCCCAGAATGCGGCAATGCCTCGGCTTTTAAGGCACTTTCACATGCACTCACCGAGAAGACGTGTGCTGCGGAGGATGGGCACCTGACGCAACACCCAAAAATGGGATCAATCTAATGATGGAAATCGTGCAAAGTGACGATCGCTCGATTGGTAAACAGAAGCTTCAGTGGAGAATTAAAATTTGGGGATGGATATTCAAATGGCTGCTTCTTTTACTTGGAAATTCACCAAAAATATTAGCAAGGAAATAAATGTACTGT